GCCAATGTTTTTTTCTAGCAGTTTCAGTGTTTCAAGTTTCACAATGAGGTCTTTGATCCATTTGGAGTTGACTTTTGTGTAAGGTGAAAGATAAGGATCTAGTTTCATTCTTCTGCAGGTGGAGATCCAGTTTTTCCAGCACCATTTGTTGAAGATGTTGTCTGTCCTCCACTGTGTGTTCTTGGTACCTTTGTCAAATATCTGGTGGCTGAAATTGCATGTACTCATGTTTGGGTCTTCAATGATGTTCTATTGATCAATGTGTCTATTTTTGTGCTGGTACCATGCTATTTTTATGGCTATTGCTCTATAGTATACTTTGAGATCTGGCATAGTAATCCCCCCACCATTGCTCTTTGTGCTCAGGATTGCTTTGGCTATCAGTCTTTTGTGCTTTCTATGTGAATTTAATAATTTTTTTTCTAATTCTGTGAAGTATGTCATGGGGATTTGATTGGATTGCACTGAGTCTCTATATTGATTTTGGTAGGATGGTCATTTTCACAATATTAATTCTTCCAATCCATAAGCATAGGCAGTCCTTCCGTCTTCTGGTGTCTTCTTCAATCTCTTTCTTTAAAGATTTAAAATTTTCATTGTAGAGATCTTTGATGTCTTTGGTCAGGTTTATTCCAAGATTTTTTTTTTTTGAGGCTATTATGAATGGGAGGGATTCCCTGTACTCTTGCTCTGATTGCTTGTTATTGATATATACAAAGGCTACAGACTTTTGTAGATTAATTTTTGTAACCTGCCACTTTACTGAAAGTATTGGTCAGTTCTAGGAGTTTTCTGGTGGAATTTTTGGGAGCTCTTAGATACAGTATCATATCATCTGCAAAAAGAGATAATTTGACCTATTCTTTTCCAATTAGTACTCCTTTAATTTCATTCTCCTGTCTTATTACTCTAGCAAGAGTTTCAAGCACTATGTTGAAAAGGAGTGGAGATGATGAACATCCTTGTCTGATTCCTGATTTTAAGGGGAATGCTTCCAGTTTTTTTCCATTTAGAATGATGTTGGCTGTGGGTTTGTTGTATATATCTTTAATTATGTTGAAATATGTTCCCTCCAGTCCAATTCCCTTTAGAACTTTTATCATGAATGCATGCTGAATTTTGTCAAAAGCCTTTTCTGCATCTATTGAAATGATGATGTGGTTTTTGTCCTTTATGATGGATGACATTTATTGACTTGCATATATTGAACCATCCCTGCATCTCTATAACAAAGTCTACTTGATCACGGTGAGTGATCTTTTTTATGTACATCTATATGTGGTTTGCAAGTATTTTGTTGAGAATTTTGGCATCATGTTCATTAAGGATATGGGTCTATTGTTTTCTTTTTTGGTTGTGTCTTTACCTGGTTTTAGTATTAGAGTGATGCTGGCTTCATAGAAGGAATTTGGGAGTTCTCCCTCTGTTTCTGTCTTTTTGAATAATTTAAGTAGCATTGGCTAGGGGTCTTCTTTTAATGGTAGTATTCTGCTGTAAATCCATCTAGGCCTGGGCTTTTATTCATCAGGAGGTTTTGTACTACTGTTTTGATTTTCTCACATGTTATGGATCTGTTTAAACTGTTGATCTCTTCTTGGTTTAACTTTGGTGATTTTAGATACCAGTCCATTTCTTTTAGATTTTCAAATCTAATAGAGTATAGGTTTTTAAAGTATTCCCTTATAATGTTCTGGATCTTTAGGGTGTCTGTTGTGATGTTTCCCCTTTCATCTCTGATTTTGTAGATTTTCATTTGTTCTTTCTTTCAGTTACCTGGCCTAAGGGTCTGTCTATCTTGTTTAGCTTTTCAAAAAACCAGCTCTTAGATTCATTGGTTCTTTGTATTCTTTTCTTTGTCTCAATTTCATTAATTTCTGTTCTGATTTTTGTTATTTCTTCTCATCTGCTGGGTTTGGGTTTCATTTGTTCTTGTCTTTCCAGAGCCTTGAGTTGCAATGCTAGGTCATTTATTTATGTTCTTTCTGATTTTTTTTGGGGGGGGGTGTTTTTGAGACAGGGTCTCCCTGTAGCCCCAGCTGTCCTGGAACTCACTATGTAGACCAATCTGGCCTTGAACTCACAGAGATCCACCTGCCTCTGCTTCCCAAGTGCTGGGATTAAGGGCGTGCATCACCACGCCCAGCCTGATTTTTTAATGTAGGCACTTAGAGCTATAAACCTCCCTCTTAGGACTGCTTTTGAAGTGTTGCAGAGGTTTTGTTGTTATGTTGTCCTTTTCATTGAATACCAGGAATTCCAGGAATTCTTTTATTTCTTCCTTAATTTCTCCTTTGACCCACTCATCATTCAGGAGTGTGTTATTTAATCTCCATTAGTTTGTGTAGTTACTAGGCCTTCTTTCGGTGTTGATTTTAAGCTTTTTTGCATTGCAGTCTGATAAACTGCATGGAATTATTTCAATCTTTTTGTATTTGTTGAGGTTTGTTTTGTGCCCCTGTATATGGTCAATTTTTGAGAAAGTTCCATGAGGTACTGAATAGAAAGTGTATTTTTTGGTGCTTGGGTGGAATATTTGGAAGATATCTGTTCGGTTAGTTTGATATATGGTATCATTTAATTCAGGTGTCTCTCTGTTTATTCTTTGTCTAGTTGACCTGTCTAATGGAGATAGTGGGGTATTGAAGTCCTATAGTGTTGTTTTTATGAATTTGGGTAGACTAGAGTTTGGTGCATATATGTTAAGGATTGTAATATCTTCTTGGTCAGTTTTTCCTTTGATCAGAATAAAGTGACCCTCTTTATCTCTTCTGATTAGTTTTAGTTTGAAGTCTGTTTTGCCAGATAATCAGAATTTCAACCCCTGCCTGTTTCTTAGTGCCATTTACTTGAAATATTCTTTTCTGTCTTTTCACCTTGAGGTAGTGCCTGTCCTTGAAGGTGAGATGGGTTTTCTTGCAGACAACAAAAAGTTGGATTTTGTTTCTTTGTTGATTTTGTTTGTTTGTTTGTTTGGTCTTTTTGAGACAGGGTCTCCCTGTAGCCCCAGCTGGCCTGGAACTCACTTTGTAGACCAGGCTGGCCTCAAACTCACCTGCCTCTGCCTCCCAAGTGCTGGGATCACCACACCGGTAGGATTTTGTTTCTCAATCCATTCAACTAGCCTGTGTCATTTGACTGGGGAATTCAGTCCATTGATGTTTAAAGTTATTATTGAAAGTGGTGTATTGGTTGCCATCATTTTATTACTGTTTGCATTCTTTGTCTAATTTTGTGTTTCCACAATTATGCCTTCACTTAGTTTCTTTCTGTTGCCCCTGGGATATAGTTGTTCCTATCTCCATTCTTTGCCCAATTTTGGCACCTCTCAGGCAGTCTGCTAAGGTCTCAGCCCCTACTGTAGGGACCTCATGTAATCCCAATTAGGAGGTTAGGTACCATGTGATTTGGGGAAGCTCACCACCATGTGGAGGCCAGATCCAGGTGCTCTCAGGCAGTCTGCTGAATATCAATTTTTTAAAAAATTCTTTTTAATGTGGTGGTGGTAAAAGGTGCGTGATATAAAATGCTGTTTTTACTATGTTTAAGTGGGCATTTCAGTGGCACCCATAGCACTGACATTGTCCTACAACCATCTGGGAAATATCTCTTTAGAATTTGAAAAGTGAAACTCTGAGTCTATTGAACACTAACTCATTCCTGACCTCCACCTGGGCTGCCTGGCCAGGGCTGCATTATTCTTTTTGTTGTGTGACTTTAACTATTCTGAATACCTCACAGAAGTGAAATCTTACAGCATTTGTTCTTTTGTGTCTGGCTTAGTCTTCCCATAAAGTTGTCACGTTTTATCCATATTGTAGTGTGGTTTGAAGCTTCATTCGTCTTACTGCTGGGAGCACTCCTTTCTACACATGAATACCAAACATTCAAAGGGAAAAAAGCAGGATATGACCCAGAAGAGGAAATAATAGAAGAAAACTATGGCCTGGAGAGATGGCTCAGTGGTTAAGAATATTGACTGTTCTTGCAGAACACCCAGGTTCGCACCCCAGCACCCACATGGCAGCTAACAACTGTCCATAACTCCAGTTTCAGGGAATCCGACGGCCTCTTCTGTCCTCCGCAGGAATTGTACAACATGGATGCACTTACATACATGCAGGCAATACATGCATACATCTAAAATAAAAATAATAAATTTTTTAAAAATAATAGAAGAAAACTGAAGATGCTCTCACAGAGCCTAAAAACAGAGGCTTGAAGGGGAACATGAGGCCACGATCAGTAACACCGAGAGAGTATGGGGTTTTCCAGACCTTAGTAACAGTGGCTTTGGTGGAATTGTGAGAACTAAATCCTGAGTAAATGAGAGGGACCAGGGAGATGGCTCAGCCAATAAAGAGCTTACTGCACGAACATCCTGTGTTTGGATCTGTAAGCCCATGTAAAAGCCAGGCATGGTGGTACATGCCTGTAATCCCAGCACTGGGGAGGTAGAAACAGGAGGATCCCTGGGGCTCACTGGTCAGCCAACCTAGCCAACTGGCAATCTCCAAGTTCAGTATGAGACCATGTCTAAAATAAATAAGGTGAATAATTGAGAAAGATACCCAGTGTTGGCCTCTGGTCTCTACAGGCACCCACATGCATACATGTATGAACACATACACACACATATAAAAGAGTAAATGAGACAAGAATAGTGGATTCTTCTAAGACATCTTGTTTAAGAGAAAGAAAGGTACAGGGTGGCTAAGGGGAGACAGAACTGGAACGATGCTTTTTTATTTGTGTGGGAGGCAGCTGACCTTGTTAGTGTCCCTCCAAAAGAAAGGAGACTATAGTAAAAGTACAGGAAGGGAAGGAGCAATGTTTGGTGGCAAACTGGGTTACAAGGTGAGGTGGTAGGGCTGAAATGAGGAGCTCATAGGTGCTCAGTGCAAGTGCCCTGGTTTCCCCAATAAAACTGACAGTTACTCAATGAGCTGTTTTATCAGGAGCTTTATGCTTCTTGGTGACTCGTGTGATTCATTTTGTTTCAGATCCACCAGATGCTCCTGATAAGGTGACATGTATCATTTATGAATACTCAGGCCACATGACTTGCACCTGGAACACTGGGAGACTCACCTACCTAGACACCAAGTACGTGGTGCATGTGAAGAGGTAGGTTCTCCTGCAGTGCTGTGGACAGCACTTCCCCTCCAGTGGATCCAGCAGAGATCCAAGACCAGACTCAGAGACCTTGAGATACATACTCTCCTTAGGAAACCCCAGAACCGCCCCTGGGCCATTGCTATTTTCTGCTCTATGGGGCAATGTGTTCTATGATCTTTCTGTCCTTTTCCACTGGTATGTAACAGGTAGGAGGAGTCTAACAGGGGACAGCACAGCACAATTTAGGCTGCGACCTAATCTCAACCCTGTTACCCTATGAAGATTAGGATAATGTTCTCAGTCTCTCAAAAATGCCCATTCTAATTTTTAAAAGGGGCCTCCAAAATGCACCTTTGTTCAACTAATTGAATGATATTTGGCTTTCAATATGTATGATGGTGCCAGGTCCTTAGCAGTAAGTTGATGGGAAGTATTAACTGTTAACCGTGACCTTCAAGTTTTAGTTTTAATTTAGGAGTTGCATCTCTAGTCTTATGTTCAAGTTCCGGGTAGGAAGAGTGATGAAAAGAAAAGAATGTCCTCCTGTGGACTCACGCTACATGGCACTGGGCTGAACAAGGCAACATGTCTGTCCTCTCTGTTCAGATGGAAACGTGGCAGAAGGCACTGCAGATGGACTTTAGTGCCATCATGCAATAGTAGCTGCCAGTCACTGCTGTATGACTTTGGAGAAGTTATTTAGCCTTACTGGATGGGTCTCAACCTCCTGTGGAATAAGGATAATTAATATCATAACTGTTATAAGAAAGCAAATAGTAGGAAATGGCTTACCTATAGGAAATGTTTATAAATAATGATGAAGATGGGGGGACAATCTTAGCCCATTCATTCTACTACAGCAAAATACCAGTGACTGGCTAATTTGTAAGAAACAGCAATTTATTGTATCTGGTTCTGGAGACTGGGAAGTTCAAGGTCAAAATGCTAGCAAATCTGATGTCTGTTGATGGTCCATTCCTCATAAGTGGTGTCTTCTGTGTGCATTCACATGGGAGGAGGGGAGACAATTACCTTCAACCTCCTTCAAAAGGCACTGAAATCATTCTTGGGGTGGGTCTTCATTGCTTCATCACCTTCTAGGGGCTCAGTTTCTTAAGAAACTTGCCTAGGAAGTTAGGCTTAACATATGAAACTGACGTGCTGCCCACTGCTCAAGAGGGCTGCTGGGGCTCAGCATAGGCATATGAGGGGACATCAACATTCAGACTGCAGCAAGGAGTATTAGATTGCTATGGTGACACTCAAGACCGATGCATTCTTATGTCAAGTCTGACTTTATAGGGGAGAGGAAAGATGAATAAGTCACATGATTTACAGAATACTATAAACAATTTTATTTTCAGATAATTTGGGGAAAATTTAGAAAACAATGCTGAGTGTGTTCTCATATGAAAGTCCAATTTGCAGCTACTGAACAGAGATATTATGTTTATGCAAGTATTCCAAGATCTAAAATCTAAATTCCAACACTCTGGTCCCAGGCACTCTGGATAAGGGAGGCAAACCATAGTTAAACTCTGACAAACCTAACCCATATTCTGAATTGCCAGAGTCCAGATCAATGAAATGTTATCATACTTTAAAGAAGACACAAAGAATTGGAAAGATTATCATAAGAATGGATGCCTTTTTTTTCTAGCAAATTCAAAGCACAATTTCCAGTAAGCACAGAAACACTGAGAAAGGAAATACATGTCTACTCATCTCCTAATTAATGAGAAACAATCATGAGCTAAAAATAATTAGGAAAGGAAAAGTAGACTTCTGTAGGCCTTTTTCCTCCAGGAAAAAGCTGAGCTGTAAGGAATGTGTGGGTGATGTGAGAAGGCCAGCGGTGGTTAAGCCCTTGCAGATCCTGGGTTGTTAGGTATTTCCACTTCAGAAGACAGGAAGAGACTGGCACTGGCAAGATTTCATTTCTAATTCAAGTGGGTGCTTCTTCCAGTAAGATCACACAAACTGTAAAGCCTGTCACCTTGGCCCGCCTGCTCTATGGCAGGGCAGGGGTCATCAGAGGCCTTCTGGCTAAGCAGAATGGTATCTATGTTGCTTTGAGAGCACTCTTCCAGCACTGCTCCTTAGTTTCTTAGTGCCCTGCCCACCTCCCCACCCCGCCAGATAGAGCTGTGTGTATTTTACTGTATCCCTAGTGGCCATGGGAGGAGATTACCTTGCTATTAAGTTGTATGTTCCCTAGTATTATCCTGTCTTCAGAAGGTCTGTGTAAATATGTTCATCTGTGAAACTCACATAGAGTCTGACAGTACCTTCAACTTGTTAATAGGGGTTGGATAGAAATGAATGAATGGGGCCAACAAGGTGGCTTAGTGGCTTGCTGCCAAGCCTGATGACCTGAGTTTGATTCCCAGGACCCACAAGGTGGAAGAAGAGAATCAACCCTGGAAGTGTGAATGTTTACGCACACACACACACACACACACACACAAAATAATAATAATAATAAAATAAAATAAATAAATAAATGAGGGCCAGAGATATGGTTCAAAGTACTTGCCTGGCATGTGTGAGTCCTTGAGGTTGATCTCTGCAATGGATAGCTTTTTCTTTTTTGTTTTATTTATGTGTATAAATGCTTTGCCTACATGTATGTAAGTGCACCATGTGTGTGCAGTGCCTGTGGAGGCCAGAAGAGGGCATCAAATCACCTGGAACAGGAGTTAGAGACAGTGCTTAGCTGCCATATGGGTACTGGGAACTGAAGCTGGGTCCTCTCTAAGAGCAGCCAGTGCTCTTAACCACTGAGCCATCTCTCCAGCTCCAGCTATGGATATTCCTGAAAGATGCCAAATAACGCTTTCTTATTTTTTGATTCACTTTTTGTTTTCTTACAGCATTCCTTTAGCCTTACCTTATTTACTCTTCTTTCCTTGTAATACTCATGAGGAGAACTGCTTCATAAAGCTTTGGTTAGGAATACCTGTTCCTCACATATAGAGTTGTGTCATATGTTTATGACATATTTCATAAAAGGTCCCTGATATTATAGTTATTGAATGTTTATTGAATAAATATTTGTCATTGAAAACTATGTTTTTGTTTGTTTGTTGAGACTGGATCTCACTATGTAGCCCAGGCTGACCTGGAACTAACGTGCTCCTGCCTTCACCTTTCAGGACTGAGATCACAGACATGCACCACCATGCCTTACTTATTGTCATAGTGGCTTTCTGTTGCTGTGATAAACACCATGACCAAAGCAACTTGGGGAGGAAATGGTTTTGTTTGGCTTATATGTCCTGATTATAATTCATCATTGAGGGAAGCCAGGTAGGAACTCAGGGCAGGCACCTGGAGGCCAGAGCTGAAGCACAGACCATGGAGGAACACTGCTTACTGGCTTGCTCCTCTGGCTTGGACTCAGCCTGCTTTCTTAGATAACCCAGAACCACTTGCCCAGCAGGCTGGACCCTTCCATACCATTCAGCAATCAAGAAAATACTCTCACAGTCATGCCCACAAGCCAATCAAATAGAAGCAATTTTCCAATTGAAGTTTGCTCTTCCCAGGTGTGTCATATTCCATCTAAGCCAATTTAGCAAATAATTTATTTGGCATTTTATGTATTCTGGCCCCATGTTAAACCCTAGAGATTTTTAAAAAACATGTTCATGTCCAACAGGTTTATAAACTTGGAAAACATCAATGTGGACTTTTCAGGCAGCACAGAAGTGGAAAGGACAAATCTTTCTAGATTTGTTACCATTTTAGACCCTACAGATCAGTTGTCTATTCTGCCTGTTCATAAGTCATTATTTTACCACATAGTCTCCACACGTAGCAAAGAGAGTTCTTAGATTTAATCTCAAATATTTTTATGGTTGTTGGGTTTTGAGACCTGGTCTCACCCTGTAGTCTAGGCTAGTGCAGAATCACTATGAAGCTCAGGTTGGCTTTGAACTTGTGGCAATTTTCCTGCCTTAGCCTCCTGAATGCTGAAATTACAGGTGTGAGCCATCACATCTAGCTAGCCCCAAATAGTTTTAAAGACTGTGATGTTAGGTTTCGGTAATTCTTTTAGAACTCATTAAGTAGTTTATATTTTCTTTTTTGAATATTTTATTAATTTTTTTATTATATGTGTATGTATGTTTTGCCTACATGTATGTATGTGCACCCATGCCATGCAATACCCTCAGAAGTCAGAAGAGGGCGTCAGATCCTCTGGAAATGGAGATACAGATGGTTGTTAGCTGCCATGTAGGTGCTGGGAACTGAACCTAGGTCCTCTGCAAGAACAGCCAGTGTTTTTAACCTCTGAGTATCTCTCCAGCCCCAGTAGTTTATATTTTCAAGTTGATTTCCTGATCACTTATGAGCCTTGTCTGGGGACAAACACAACCATCTTACTGTTTACAACCACTAATTTCAATTGGGTCCTGAGAGTTGAATATTAGTCTTTATTACATTGCACTAACCAATCACACCCCTTTTGGGTCAGAGAATTATTTCATTACTTTTTCTCTTGCCTCTGGTCTCTAACATTTTCCTTTTCTTCCCCTTTATTTTACTGAGAAAACAGGAGCATTGAGAGACACACCTCACCATCTCTCTTTTCCAGGCACACCAACTCCTGTACCCATGAGCTTCAGCCCTTCTGCCTGTGTTCAGCTGGTTCCACTGGTGTACTGAATCTTCTGCCCCTGGGAGGACAGTGCTCCAACAGCTGTCCCCTCTATCTTCTTCTTCATCTCCTCTAGCCTTACTAGACCATTACCCTTAGCTTTCAAACATGCTAAGCATCTGCCATTTTGAAAAATATAGCTCTTGGACTGGAGAGGTGGCTCAGCAATTAAGAGCACCGACTGCTCTTATAGAGGACCCTGGTTTGAATCCTAGCTCCCACATTGTGACTGACAACTGCCTATAACTCCAATTCCATGGGCTCCAGTGCCCTCTTCTGATCCCTGTGGTCATTGCACAACACAGGTACACTTACAGGCATGCAGGCAATACACTCATACACATAA